AAGCCAACCTGACCATGAACCCCCACTACAGACCTTCCTGGAGGTGGGGCCCCACTGGGAGATCTTGGGTTCTCAAACCCCAGCTAGAGGGAGTTGCATTGGAGAATTGCCTGGTCCTTTGGCCCTTCTTTTAATAGCTCACCCCATACAGCTGAAGGAGAGGCTAGTGACCAAACATGTGGCTCCACACCTGGCATGGCAAAAGGTCAGGGCCTACCTGTGACAGCTAAGCTCCCTATGTCCCTGGGGCTCACTGTCCCCTGTAGGGCCCTATACAAGGGGAAGCTGAAGCTCACAGAGACACTGGAAGAAGCAGAGTAAGGGGATGACAACAGGGTCATTGTCCCACTGCATCCATGAGAACTCAGGATGCTCTGAAGTGGAAATCTCTCCCTTATACAGGTACTAGCTGAGCCAGGCACTATTAGAGTGGCCGTGTGCTCCCCTCTTTGGAGAGTCAGTGCAGTCCACACTTAACCTCAGCAGGCAGATGCACAGCAGTGGGGCAGGAGCATCTGCAGCCACACAGCCAAAGGCAAGGCCAAGGCCACAGGCCCTCCAGCTGTTAGAGGTAGAGGAGGAGGAAGGGATAAGGCCAGTTTGAGAGCTGGATGTGACTTTGTACAGATGGCCTCTGATTTTTAGACCCTATGTATCTCTATGCTGTGGCCTCAAGGGACAGTGGCTTGGCTGTGTTACGATGTCTGTCAAACATTCTGTGGGTGAAAACATCCCTCCAGGCTCTGCCATGGGGGAAGGCTGAGCTTCTTGCCAGTGGAAAGGGTTGTATTGTGTTTAAACTTGTTTGGGTTTTCTGTTTGTTTGTTTTACATTTATCTGGCATGCAGAAGGGAGTCAGGACAGCTTATAGAGGCAGTTTTCTCCACCATGTGGGTTCAGGTCTGCAGACTTGGTGGCAGCACCTTCACCTGCTAAGCTGTTTCTCCAGCCCTGTTGTGGCATTTTAAAATCACCTTTGTGCAGGGTGGTGGTGCTCACTTTATTCCAGCACTCGGGAGGAGAGGCAGGCAGATCTCTGTGAGTTCAAGGCCAGCCTCATCTACAGGGCAAGTTCCAGGACAGTTAGGACTGTTACACAGAGAAATTTGTCTCAGAAAGCCCCCCCCCAAAAAATCATGTTTGTGTTTTACTCTCCCCCTTAAAAAAAAGTGGTTTAATTTTTATGTGTATGGATATTCTGCCTGCATACTTGTCTGCGTACCATGTGTGTGCATTGCCTGTGGAGGCCAGAAGAGGCATTGAATCCCCTGGAGCTGGAGTTTAGATGGTTGTGATAGGTGCTGGAGATCAAACCTGGGTCCTCTGCAAGAACAGCCAGTGCTCTTAACTGTTGAACCTCCTCTACAGCCCCATTTTACTTTCAGCTTCAATCTGTACCCTGTGTCTGTACCCCATTTTAAAAGCATATAGTACAGATACAACTTAAACAGAATATGCCACCCCTTTCTTCTGGACTCATTCGAAGGGGTCTAGGCTCTTTCAACAGTGTCCGAGGGTTCATGCTGGTCAGAAACCCACAGGGTGTTCATTCTGAGTCCATCATAAGTGTTTCTCTGAGCTTTCTACTTGGTAACTGTGATGTAGCGGCTGCTTACTCTACTGTTCTGCCTTAGCAGCCCCCTTCCGTGTGAGTGAGTGACAGCCTGGACACATTGGGGTGGTGAGAAGGGTTCAGGAAGACTCTGTCTCTGAACCTGAGTTAGTGGCAAGCAAGTAGAGACAGCAAGCCTAAAGTCCCTGCCTGAGTACAGACAGACAGACAGACAGACATGCCCAGAGTGGATACAGGAGCAGGGGATGATATGGGAACTGAGGATGAACAAGTAGCCCAAGTTGCCACTAGAGGTGGCAGCCACACGATGGCTCGGTTGGCGTTCTCGGTGTGCCCTGTACATGGTCCCAGGCACTCACAGCCTGACACACTCTTGTGCAACTCTGGAGTTTGCTCTTCCTGCTGCTTAGGCCCCGGCTCCTCTGTTAAGGTGTTCAGGACTGCCCAAGGACCACCACTTCAGGCGTGGGTCCGAAGTGACAATGGCAACGACTTGGTGGGGAAGTTGCCATCCTAGGTTCATAGAAGTTTGAATCCTGATTCCTGGGCCACTCTCCTTCTGGTCACTTCCAGGGAATTGCTTTTCTGTGTAGCTGCCTGTTGTCTCTCTCCACCCAACCACTCACCTCCTGAGGGCGCCAGGCAAGATGGCTTTTTTCCTGGGCAGAGACACTCATGCAGCCTCAAAAGGAGTTGACAGAAGAGAGGTGATGGTTTACTCTGACATGTGTCCCCAGCATTGGGTTCTGCATCTCTGGATTCACCGTGCGTTTCCCTGTTCTGTCTCACATCCCTGAGAGGAGCCGTGTGAGAGCAGTGCCCCCTTAGCCCCTGACTGTCCTCTGCAGCCCTTGCAGCCCCTCTACTTTTGAAAGGTACCTTAGCCCCAGGCTACCCCATCAGAGACCCTGCGATGTCCATTGAGGTTGAGGTATCTTCTTGGGACTCAGACTCAAAGGGACAGGGCCTGGGGACAGCACCTATTACTCATCTCTTAACCTTGCTTGGGTCATTGGATGCTGCCTCCTCACCTCTTCTGGCAAAACTGCTCAGCCTGCAAACTCTGGTAGAAACGATGACCATGACATGGTCACTATTAAGACACATTTTGGGGATCAGGGGGACCTAGCCTAAATGGTATCACCAAGGGCCCCTGGTAGGGACTCCTCTTTTCAGGATGTATGTTCTCTTCCCTGGGGCACAGATGCCACCTGACTCACTCAGCACCACGCAGACCTGTGGGCTCCCCTTAATGGGGGACACAGGCTTCCCAAAGGCGTGGACTGTTGGTGTCTGCTCATTTCCTCAGTCCTGACCCTGAGGGACTAGCCAAGAGCAGACAGCAGCCGCAGAAGAGAGCAACTGGCCTCAGACCTCAGATGGACTCATAGACTAATCCCTGGCCCGCCAGGCAGTGCTGTCCACGCTTCCTATTGTTGGCTCTTGTGATTGAGCCTTTATCCTTCTTAATCTCCCACGTGCACCCCTCTCTGGGCCAGCGCTCTGTCCTGCACATTCACCCCTGTAAGACTCTTTCCTTTTGATAAGGACCAGAGCTGGGGGCATGCTGGGCTCCTGCTGCTGCCCTTGTACACAGAGCGAGCAGGCCATGAAGAGCACTGCATACCTGTGACCCCTGTGCTCTGCAGGAGTGGGCTCCGAGTCTGGGTCTGGGCAAGGTGTCGGCCGTCCGTGAGTGGACATGAATGATGCCCTGTTGGGGGCCTTACAGCAGGCATAGCACTGGACGAGCCACTTTAAAGGGAAGGTCTGAGGCTTAGGGGCAGGAACTCCCCAGGACCACCCCTCCCTGGGGAACCCCACCATTACTTTGGCCCCACAGGAATCCCCAGGTTGGCTGCTCTCTGGGATACTCCTTTCAGCAACTGTGGGATTCTCTCCTATACCATCTTTACCGTGGTTGGTGGTGCTTATAAACCCCAGCCCCGTCAGTCATGTCAGGCTGCTTTCTGCTTCCTGCACTTTCAGCAGGCAGCAAGTCACTGAGCAGGGGTGTCCCTGTCCTCCCAGTGGGAGTTCTGGAAGCTGATTCAGGGCTCTCAGCAAGACCTCCAGTCTAGGCACTACTGCTGTGGGTCTGGCCCTAAAGGAGACTGGATGGACATGACCAAGCAAACCCTGAGGCGGTCCCCATAGCCACCTTGGTCCTGAGTTGTCCTGACACCTCACTGGAGGCTCAGGTTCTTCTTTCTGCAGAGGGCTGGATGCTAGGTACCTAAGGTGGTCAGGAGCTGCCAGGACCTCTCTTAGGTCTGCAGGGTCTGGGTAGGGGACAGGGGCAGGCTGCCTGCATGCTGCTCTAGGCCTGGATACTACAGGTTGCACCCAGGGGTCCTCCCTAAGGATCACTTCAGATGGGCTGACTTTAGGGAGGTGAATAGTAAGGAAAGTGAGTGGCATAAGAGGTAAGGCTTTAAAAAAAATAGATTTTTTTTTCTAGTTTCAAAGGCTTATGTGCTGGTAAAAGTTTTGAGAAGTGTAAAAAGGTTAAAACAATCCGCCCCCATCCATAACTACACCACTCAGATAGAACCACTGTTAACATTTTCTGTGACTCCAGGGTTGTTTTTATGCATTTATATATGTTATATATTTTTAAACAAAAATAGTATCATGCTATATACATTATTTTATAAGCTTTTTCTCCTTACATAGTATATCTTTCCTCATCAGTGCATATAGGCCTTGATTTTTACACAGGCTGCATAGCATTCTCTGCTGTTGGCGTGCATATATGTTTAACTGGTCCCCACAGGTGGACACTAAGAGTACTTCCATGTTGCCCAAAACCATTCCTGTCATTCAGTCTCTGCCTGGAGCCCCGTCTTGGACTCAGTTCTGAGAAGAGGTCACTGGCTCTGAGTGTCTGCTTCCAGAAGGGCCATGCAGGAGGCCACCGTTCCCATAGCCGGTGGGAGGTGGGAGAGCAAGGTGGCTCCGGGAGGTGCCCCACTCTGACTCTATCTATCTTCTCTCTAGGGCGGAACCCATCAGAACCACTGTCTTCCAGTACCCTGTGGGCTGGCCACCAATGCAGGAGCTCCCGCCCTCCCTGCGGGCACCCCCTCCTGGAGGATGGTCCCTACAGTCCAGAGTCCAGTGGGGCTGAGCTCTTCCCCGCTCCCCACCTGACTTCTCCTGGTCACCAGTCACAGTAAAGACATTTGCTCAACCTATGAAGCGGGGCTACTTCGCACTGCTCCCCCTAGAGCCTCTGAGACTGTGAGCTTGGCCTCCTCCTCCACCCACCATCCCTCAGGGCATATCTTGAGAAGATGGGTGAAAGCATCCGGACGTTTATAAAGAAAGTCTGTCCTCCATGGTCTTGCTGGCACTCATGTTGTTGACTCTGTCCTCCTGCCTTCATCGGGGGACAGGCGGGCTGGAATGAGACAAAATCCCCTCCAGGGTGTCCTTTGCATACAGCCCTTCTTGCTTAGGGATCAGTAGAGGCTCAGCCAGGCTGGGCACAGAGCATGCCAGTGTGGCTGTGGCCCCAGGCTAGGGAAAGAAGCCCATGGACTCTGCCAACTGTCTTTGCCCTGCGTCTGCCCAGGCTGCACCAGTGCCAGGAAATGGGATGGCACACGTGGAGCGCGTATGAGAGCTGAGAGCTGGATCTCCAGCCTTGGGGGTGCAGAGAAGTGGGGCCCCAGAAGGGCAGGCCCTGGACTGTTGGCATATGCCAGATCTTCAGGGGAGTCAGATCCTTCAGGTTGCACCCTGGCCTGTGGGGAAGTCATGTGGGCTACAGGGGCTCTGCTCTCCTCAGTTGGGTTTCTAGGTTCTGTGCTGGGAGAAAACTTGGCCTTGGTCTCTAAGACTTTGGTGGAAGGCTCGGCAATTCATGGGCCTCAGAGCTACCTCTGATGCCCCATCTTGCTTGAGCATTTGCCTTTCCTGAAAAGCCATGTGGAAGAAGAATCTGAAACCAGATCTTAGCTCCCCCCCAGCCTCAGGCTCCTCACCTGTGAAATGGACAGACACAGGCCCCAGCAGGTGGATGGGAGGGCTGGCTTTGAGTCTAAGGAGGACCAGAGGAAGGGACCCAGGAGCCCCAGCCTTGTGCCCACCTCCACCCCACCCACAGCTCTGGACATGAGTTTCTCGCCTGCCTAAAAGATCACAGCACGAACTGGATCCTAGGGACTCCTGTAAAGCCCCTCCTTTCCCAGGGGCTCCCGGGTGGTGGGAAGTTAACGCTACATACAGGCCAGGTAGGGGCACAGGCAGGGTATAGGGGCTAGTGCTGTCCTCAACCACCACCAGGTCCTCCACAGCTGGGCCATGGCTCCATGCAAGGCCTATGGGGTGAGGATTGGGGTGGTCAGTGTCCAGGCTCAAAGTGCCTGTGGGTGGTGGCCCAAAGAGTAAGCTGAGGGGAAAGGCTGCAGGCAGCATGGGTGTGGAGTGTGCCAGGCGGGCACCCGTGTCGTGCCTATTTCATGCCACTGCGCAGCACCTGATTGGCTGCAATGAGCATGACACTGATGATGAAGGCGATGGCGAAGGCGCAGATCAGGCTCTTGCGCACACACGTCTGGCGGATCTGCTGGTTGGAACAGGCTGCAGCCGCCCACCAGGAACACCGGGGGAAGACAGAAGGGGACAGCAAAGGGATGGAGTCAGGTCTGCACTTCGGCACATGGACTTGACTTGGGGCAAACAAGGACACAAGGTTGGGGACAAGGAGGCCCCATGCAAACCCCTGGTGTGTCCCCCTGCTCGAGCATCGGAACCCACCCACGAAGTCCCAAGGCAAGCCACTCACTCTCCACGTCCACAGGACACTCCTCGGTGGTGCCCAGGTGGCTTTCCTCCTCTGTCATGATGATGTTCTCTATGTCCTTCATGGACAGGTGCTCGCAGAAGGTGTCATAGAGGAGTCGCTTCAGCTCATCCACTGTCAGCTTCTGCATGTCACACTTGGGTGGCAAAAGGGACAAGCGCTCTGACCACTACCCTGCCCTGTTTTCCACCCAGCACCCTGTAGGAACACAAGCCCAAAGACAGGCCTCCAGATCCCATAAGACTAGGATCACCTGGTCCATTGCCCCAAGGAGCCCAGGCCTCCAGGAAGTGGGACATCCAGTGGACAGTGGCCATCCCTCTCGTTACAGTGTGGGTCTGACCACACACGGGCCCTCAACACCTCCACAGACACACAGCAGAGTCCCGGCAGCCAGGGCATACCTTCCAGAAGACAGTGTCAAAGTCAGTACCGTGGAACTTCTCCGGGATCCCCGAGGTGGAAAGCTTGGGTCCCAGGAGTGTTACAAACTCCTCAAAGTCCACTTGACCATCACCTAGAGTGGGCACAGGACTAGTGAATGGGTCAGATTGAGAGCATGACCAGGCACCCCAGAGTTCAAAAGGCATGAAATGGAGTCTTGGCCTGCCTCAGACCTACCATGGGACCTCAACCCCCTTCCCTGAGCCTCCAGTCAGTTCCAGGGATGCCTAGCATGCCAGGCTCTGAGCTGGTGATGGGGCTCTACTGGGGGCCGGGGGAGGAGAGCAGCAGATGGTACCCAGATGTGTGAACTCTCCTAGTACACTCCGAACTCTCCATGGCTCCCCAGCACATTCAGATGGGAATAAGGCTCTGCATGAAGCCTGCTCTGGAAGGAGAGGAAGGGGCGAGGCGGCAACAGGTGGGATGAAGCAGAGGGGACCTGGCTAATCATTCTTAGGAGTTTTTCTTTAATAAAAATAGCAGATGGCAAATACAGCTACCATTTGTTTGGGTGATGGAAGCTGAGAGTTACTTTACCCCCCTTTTCCAACCTTAAAATCAATCCTTCTCAGACCAGAGTGGAAGGGGCAGTCTTAGATCCTGTGTGTGGCTGTCACACTTCCTGTCCCCTCACTTGCTAGGCTAAGAAGTGCCAGAGGTAAGAGGCCAGAGTGGCCTCAGCCTCCATGGTTCAGGCGCTGGGGCCTAGGTGATGGTGGGAAGTAAATCGAGGCAGGGCATCTCACCATCCATGTCCAGCCGTTGGATGATAACCTCCAGCTCCACCTCGTTGGGCATGTAACCCAAGGAGCGCATGGCCGTCCCCAGCTCCTGCTTAGAGATGAAGCCATTGCCATCACGGTCGAACACCTTGAAGGCCTCTCGGATCTCTGTGGAGGAACAGAAGGCTGACACCTTGGCCTGACCCCAGTGTCCCCTTTCCCAGATTCCTGGGATCTGAGCCCCACTCAGAACCTAGAACTCTGTCATAGGGTGTCCAGGTCACTCTTGGGCTGTGATCTGGAGTATCTGGGCAGGCAAGGCAGAGGAGACAAAGGTGTTCCCGTTCTGAGACAGTGGCCAACCCGTGGGTCTGACAGCCTTCCTGGTGTGCTCAGGACTATACCGTGTGGTGGGCACAGGGAGAATGCCGGATTCTTGTCTCATCTTCCTGTTGGGCTTCCTCTCCCAGTTCACATTCTTGCCATCAGGCAGCATTAGCTCGCGGTGGGATGGCCATGTGACTCTAGCTACTAAATGATGGCTAAAATTCACAGGCCTCCTGGTTTAGACTAAAATAGATACAATAGCTGATCCCCACCAGGCCCAGGCATGATCTCTGAGCTTCATACTCTGCATGGTATAATAGGAAAGACTGAGGACGTGAGGACCCGAGGGATTCTGGGAGGAACAGTCCACTTGACTAGGACCTGGGGACCAGGCAACTCAACACATGCACTGAGATCAGCCTCAGTTTTACATTTCAAATGGGTGCAATGTGTGGGCAGCACTCAGGCAGAAGCAGCAGGGACTTGAAGGGCCCTAACCATTCACCTTTGCCCCACCTGTCTGTCTGCTTCTGCCTTGATTATCACACTCAGCAGGGTCCTAAAGAACATTACTCTAGAGGAACAGACTTCAGTCCTTAGATCCAGCTCCCCATGGGCCTCTTGTTCATTTGGCAGACTCCTGGCCCCTTTGCCTAAGTTGTTCGCCTGACTCAGCAGGCAGTCAAGTCGTGTGTGTGTGTGTGTGTGTGTGTGTGTGTGTGTGTGTGAATAAAGACATGAGATGCTCCATGCTGCTCTATTGAGGCCGGGAGGCCAGCCTAACTTGATGAGAATTCAAGGCTCCTACACTGTGCTTCTAGTTACACTTTCACAGGCCTCAGGGAAACAAGGAACGCAGGCCAGCAGGGTGATCCTGCCACAGCGCAGAAGTCACGGCCACAGAAAGGTGGCTTGACCCCACCCAGATCTCGGTCCTCACCTCGCTCTTCCATGTGGAATCATGTATGAGATCTGAAGGTCCGAGTCCCACAGGCAGGCTGAAGTAAACAACCAAACACACACACACACACCTCAGGCAAGGCTTGGGAACTGGTTTCTGCACTAGGAGCTTTAGGGCCAGGAAAGTAGCTGAGCTGAGCTGGCAGATCTGAGCCAGATCCAGGGGGTACTGAAAACTCTGGACCCTGGCAGCTCTAGGCCGAGTACCACCAACATTTCCCTGGGCCCTGAGGGAGGCAATGTGCCCCTTGTGACCAGAGAAGGCCTGGTAGCAGTCATGGCTGCCGCAGAGCTAGGACTGCCGCAGAGAACTGTCTGGATAGTGGAGGTGTGCTTCCCTTCTTCCTCCCCCTCCCCCATCTCATTTCTAACCATGTTGTCACCTTTCTGGACTGGTGTCATGGGCACAGTCCCCAGGGGGCCCCTCAAGCCTGGAGACACCAAGACTGCTTTGAACCTGCTGCTTTGTCTGCAGCGTTATTCTGTTCTCATATCTAACTCAGGTATATCCCGGGTGGCATGACTCTGCCTCTCTGCCCCGAGCTGGCCTGGCCTTTGCTCTAGGTGTCCACCCCTCCATGCATCTTCTGTTTCCCTAAAATGGATTGTTCTGCGACGGTGTCCCCATTCCCTGGAACAGGACCTGCTGGATAATGAAAGGACGGAATGGCCGGCGTCGGGCCCATCTGCTAGAGCCCTCAGAGAAAGGCTCAAGCAGAGGTTTGCGCACCTCGTACAAGGTCTCTGGGCTACCCACAGAGGAGAGAAATAAAGCTGGAGGTGAGGGGAGCAGCCACGGGTTGGTCTGGGGAACAGCACAGTCAGAAATTGTACCCCTTGGAAAATGAAATCAATTAGGGGAGCTCAAGGAAGGATGGCAAAGTCCTAGATACGGTGGGGGCTGCTGTGAAAGCCACCCTCTGCTGCCAGCTGATGTCTGAGCAGGGTTCAAGGTGACTCCCCAGTTGCAGAGCTGTCTTGATGCCCTTTTTGAGGCCTGCGAGCAAAATGCACCAGACAGGAGGGACAATAATGAGCAAGTGACTCTCAGGATACATGCTCAGGGGACGGGCTCGGAGACAGCGTGTGGGTACCAAAGACATCAGGGCTCAGGCAGGGCTGACCTCCCAAGGCTACTGGGTAAATTCATAGCCGGCCTCTCTCCATCTGTGCCTCTCCCAACCCCCACCCTCCCAGCACACCTAGCTCACACTAATGTTTCAGAGCACCAACAGAGGCCCAGCGCAGTCAGAGAAGAAGTCCGCTGTCACAGACCCGGGGTGAAATCCCAGCTCTGGCCCATCGCTACTGTTTACCTGTGCAGTGGAACTTTCTGCAATCAGTGATGGAACAAGAAAAATCGTAGATGCAAGTGTTTGGCCAAGCCTGACTTTGAGGTGGCCATTGTCAATCGGACCATCCCAGATGGCAGTGTGGGAAGGGAAAGGAGGTCTGGGTGAACCTGGGATGCGAGGCTGGCCTGCATGCTGGCTGGGACCAAAACCCAAGTCCTGGGTTTGAATTCTAGCTCCCCCCTGCTCAGCAGCCAAGACCTGGGCAAAGCCTTATTTCCCTGAGTCTCGGATGAGGTTCTTGTCCCATGGCTGGGGTCTGGCCTCTGCTAAAGGCTCTCTAAGTGGGTGGGTTTCAGGGTGCCTGTCACTGTATGTCATGGACAATCATTGCTAGGTGCATTCCCCGAAAGCCTTGCTCCTTCCCTGCCCTCTGAGGCCAGACAAAACTCATTGTACTCCATCTTGGCATAGGGATGTCTGGCCCGGGAATGGGCTGGCAGGGCCTCTAAGTTTCCAGGCTAATATTGTCCCCTACTTGCAGTTTTTAATCTGACGTTCCCAGACCCTCCCCGACCTGTGGAGCTGCACAGGGGCCCAAAAGGAAGCCAGTGTTCTGCCTGAGAGTTTGTCTGGATAGACAGGGGACACTGGCAGGGACAGCAGTCACCTCCTGTGGTGGCTGCCACTGTCCGCGGCATTGGCCCTGCGCCCCAACTCTCCATCCGCCCTGCATTTTTGGCCTGTGCAGAGGCAGCTGCTGAGCTTGGCTTATGGAAGCAAAGGCAGAAAGGGGGGGGTGTATGTGGACCTATCCTAGTGCCCCCAGTTGGCCACCCTCAACACAGGCTCCGCAGTCAAGTGTGCACCCTGGAACCTAGCTGTGTGGCCGTTTGCCTCTCTCCTCTTCCTGGCCAGCCATTTCTATCCCTACCCTTGGATGCTGGACCAGTCTGTCTCGGTGTTCCTGGAGGTCTCTGCTTGGGTGCGCATTTCAGAACGGGGGTTTGTTCCAACCATGGTGGGGTGTTCAGGAGAAGTACACTTGCCTCTCTCACAGGGGCTGGGTGAACCTCCAAGTTAACACTGCTAGCCCCTTCCTCCCCCTGCCAATTAGTCATAAACATCTCCCCAGGACCAAGGGTCCCCAGTCCAGTCCCTAACTCGCCTTCTTGGCCAATCCCCATGCCCCTTGCTGCCACCCTACACTCTCCAGGCTCATAGGGTGCTCTTCCTCAGTCTCTTCTGCTGTTACATTTGGGTCCTCAGCCCCCACCGCCAGGCCCTGTGCTGAGTACTCCCACGCCATCCATCCTGGAAATGACAACGCCAACCCCTTTTATAGACGCGGAAGCCAAGACTCATAGGCAAATGATTGTCCAGGTTCACCCCATGAGCCAAGAGTGTGGAGACTCGAACCCAGTGCTGCCTGGCTGTTCTCATTTCACCCCCATATTCCCCTCCTCCCTTCCTGCTCCTGGTCCCCCGCCCACACAGACTGACCGCCCCCCTGGATTTCTGCAGCAGGCAAGCACGAGGTATCTGCAGTATTTCATCCCAGGCCATTGACTGCCCTATCTGGTCCATGTGGCTTCCTCACAAACTCCTTCCGGCAATGGGCCTGGGTCTCACCCCAACTGCCCTGGGACAGGAATGCTAGTGTGTCCTGGAGAGGCTGAGAGAGCAAAGGTAGCATCTGGAGGAAGGACAGCCACCCCGCACTCAGCCCTGGCATGAAAGTCTGCTGCAAGGAGCCCAGGGCCTGGACAGGGCCTTCAGGCTCTCGGCAGCCAAGAAGAGCCAGGGAGAACTTCCTGCCTTCATGTGCAGATTCCCACAGGCGTCTGCTGGCTCTGTGCCCTCCACCTGCCAGCCACAGGGATGACCCTGTCCTTCAGGTGCCCCCTGCATCAGGGTCCCTCTGCTAGCCCTGAAGAGGATCAAAGAGAAGCAGGGTGTGTGTTTGGTAGGACGGTGACTAACGCGGCTGGGTTTCTGCCAGCACGTCCACGGGATGGCTCAGATGGATCTTGGGCCTCCTTGCCCTTGCACTGCCCACCGTTGCCCTGCTCACCCCTGCATGCCAGTCTCTCTCAGCTTCTCCCTGTCCCTGAGTGTGCACTCTAGGATCAGGGGATCAGGAGTGGAGGGACCCAGGGAGACCTAGAACTGTGGAGCCAAGGGTCATGGTTGGGATGCTGGAAGCAGAGGAGGGAATGAGGCCAAACCTGCCTGGGGTCTGGGAAGACATGTTGCCTCTGTCCCAGGGATGAGGAGGAAGGGATGGATGAAAGCTTCTGCGTGGCCCAGAATAAGAGCCAATAAAGTAAAGGAAAACTGGCCTGTGCCCTGTACCCCTCCCAGACCCTATCACCTCCCCCCTTTCCCTCGACCTGAAGGAGGCTCTGCTTTGGTCCAGACAGGACAGGACCTGGGTTTCACAGGGTGAATGCTAAAGTTCCATCTGTCCCACCTGTGTTGAGGCCGAGATCCCCCTCTATGGATGTTCCTGTACCTGAGTGCTGGCTGGCTGTGGGAAGCGGTGTCTGGTGCCTGTGGTGCAGTGAGCATGGGAGTTGCTTTCTCTTTCTCTCCACAGTCTACTCACCCAAAATTTGCCCCAGGCCAGGCCTCGACTAAGGAAGGACTTTATGAAAGGCTCCCACTGGGCTCCCACTATTGTCCTTTTCTGTGTTGGTCCCTCCATCGCATTCCTATGGGCTCAGATGAGACCCCAGGGCTGAGACCCCTCGACTCCAACGATAGGAGACTGGCCCATTCTCTGGGTAATATCAGCCCCTCCCCCAGCAGCCGACAAACATCCTAAGGGACCAAGACTCCCTTCAGTTCAGAGTCCCCGACTCCACTCCATATGGGTCCTCAAGAGGCCTGGGGGAGGGGATCTTGAACATACCCCTGCCCCCAATCTCAGCAGAGAAGGAGCTATGAAGGCCCCAGAGGTCTCACTGCGCCCCAGGACACTCAATTCGGAAACCCCAGCCCCTGCCTGCTGCGCTGATCTTCAATAGCCAACAGCCTGCGGTCCCTATTCCCTAAAGGCACAAGGACTAGGGTCGGGGGAGGATTGGGTTCCGGCCTCTGCCTTTCCCTTCCAGGCTTCGCTAACGCGACTGAGCCTCCCAATCCGGCCACTTGTTGTCGCCACCGCCTCCCGGCCGCTTTGGCAGCGCACGGGTGGGGGGTCCCTCGCAGGGCCGCAGAAGGGGATGAGGGCAGGCAGCCCCGAAACCCGGCAAGAGCGGGGCAGTCGCCCTCTCCCCTTCTCCCGCTGCCGGAGCGGATTGGATTCTGAACGCGACACGAGCGGAATGTCAATAGGAGCGCAGAGCCACGGGCGGGCGCCGTAGAAGGGATCAGGATGCCGGCGCTCAGGCGGCGGGCGCGGGGGGCACAGCTCGGACCCCCAGCTTCATCCCCCGCCGCCTTGCCGCACCATCACCGCGGGCTGCGCGGCCCAATGATCCCGCTGCGGAGCCCCGCAAGTTTCCGCAGCGCCGGGGGCCACGCGGGC